GCCCTTACCCCAACACCAACCGGGATCCCCTTCCCCCGACATTCCCCCCCGCTGCTCGCTACCTCCCGTTCCCCCACCCCGATCTCCCTCCCCTTTCCAATCCCACCGCTCGTTTCCCCCCTGCGCAGTTCCTACTCCTGTCTCTTATACACATCTAGATGTGTATAAGAGACAGCCCTTACCCCAACACCAACCGGGATCCCCTTCCCTCGACATTCCCTACCCCGCTGCGTGCCACCTTCCACCCCTGGCCCCCTAAGCTCGACCCATTCCTCCTCCCTTCCCCGAGCCCCGCGCTTTTCGTGTGATTCCCCGACCCCGACCCTGTCTCTTATACACATCTAGATGTGTATAAGAGTTCCGTGCCACACCGAGCAGCCCGCCAGTCAGTACCGGTCCTTAGGAGGGTTAGGCCTCCGGGACAGTCGAGTCATCAGACACAGTCTTTAGCCCTACTCAGCCCGTGTGGGTTTGGTCAACAAGGCCCTATCCTTCATCCACAGAGTTCTATCACCTGGACAAAAGAGACTCAATGCAGAAAGAAGAGACAGACAGACTGGACTCAGCAAGTAGCACAGGGTGTGTGCACATCCATAGGGCGAGGGATAGGTTGAAGGCTTGGCGAGATTATACCGGCTCCGGCTTGGTCAACTCGTGGTCAACGATCTTGGTCAACGCTGCAGTCAACCAGCGGTCACCTCCGGTCAACTCCCGGTCAACTCCAGTCAACCTCCGGTCAACGCTTGGTCAACTCTCCCAGTCAACTCCTCCAGTCGGCTATGGCTTCTCTCTCCCTCACCAACCTCCCTCTTCTCTTCACCTTCCTCACCTCCTTTCACCCCGGCTATCTTCTTCTTCTCTCTTTTTTTTTTACTTTTTTTTGTTAGTCTCTCCTTCCTCCTCCTCGGCTATGGCTTCTCTCTCTCCCTTCTCGGTCTCTCCCTCTGTCCGGTCTCTCTCCCTCCGTTACTCCATGGTCTTCTTCTTCGTGGGACTGCGCGGCACACTTCACAAGTCAGTGACAACCAAACTTGTATCGCTCA